AAGTACAGCCATGTTTCATGTTGAAACTTTTTACACTGTGGCTAAAATCAACAACAAAAACACAAGTGGTCAACCAAACCCATCAACTGACATCACCTTTCTGGTAGGTCACAGATCAGAAAGTTATGGGGCAGTTCCAGCAGAGGAGGCTGGAGCTTTGGTATCTCTTTAACACTGACATGTTTTTGTCTCTCCACAGTTACCGGTCCACTGAAGGAGACACAGATAGCTTATGTATGTAGAGAAACATTACAGGTAAGTTCTAACTTTTCTGAGCTTCTAATTTGTGAACAGAGGTTTGTGTCATATCTCAAGTTAGACTGAAGTTAGGGTTTATAACAGTTAGGCAGGAAAAATATTTTTTATACAGTAACAAGTAACCATTTAAGGACATTTCGGTGCTCCCTTCAATGATATTTCCCATTGATACTGTATCTAGTGGCCACCTGTCCAAATAGACCAGATTTTCTCAGTCCCCTGAGTTAGTTAGTTTTGACTGTAAACGTGTAATATGAGTTGAGGCTATACACTTGAATGTTGCAGCTTGATAATAGTACTGGTATGTAATACATGATATGATGCACATCATTTTGAGATGTTGAATGACCATAAATGGAAAACCCAGGTCTCCTGCATGGCCTGAATCTTATGCCAAGCTACCGAGTGTGCAGCTTATGTAGATTTTCTGTTAGATGTTGAAGTTGTTGTGTTTATGTCCTTTATCTGCAGGGTTTAGCATACCTACACAGCAGAGGGAAAATGCACAGAGACATAAAGGTAATGTAAAGTTTCCTTTTTACCTGAAGATCATGAAGTAATCATAGACAAGCCAGGAAGGATGTGTTGGAGAGGGATGGACATTTTTTTTATCAAGGTCATGCACATAATCATGTTCATATTTGCTGTTCTAATGTTAACATGTTTCTCTCCTATCCTACAGGGCGCGAATATCTTGTTAACAGATGAGGGCAATGTCAAATTAGGTAAGCGGAACGTTAACATGCCAGCATCCATAATTCCCTATAGAGCTTATACCTTGGCAGAAGCTATGCAATGTTAACCACAGCGCAGCTACATGCACCTGCCAGATTGAAATAAAAAAGTAAAGATATTTTTATTCCTATACTTCCAGTACTTTTCACCAGATCTTACCACTTTGTCCCTTTGCAGCTGACTTTGGTGTGTCTGCCCAGATCACAGCCACCATGGCCAAACGCAAGTCGTTCATTGGCACACCGTACTGGTACGGCACCTTGGGTTTTTACTGTGGTCTTGTGTGTCATTGTTCTCTACATTCAATAAACACTGAATTTCGTAAAAGATTTTTACTGTAGATTGATGTCACATTTTGTTCCTGCTGTCAGGATGGCCCCAGAAGTGGCTGCTGTGGAGAGGAAAGGTGGCTACAACCAGCAGGTGGGTCATAGGTCTTCTGTTGCTATAGTTACAGCAGGTAGAGGAGGGTACATCTATTCCCATGACTGTAACAGACAATGTGGCCCCTGGTAGCTGTCTGAGTAGGTTACACCCCTTCACACTGGCATCAGGCACAGAATCTGGACTTCAGGACATTTTACCAAAGCAGAAAATATCTGATTGTGTGGTGTGGAAGTGCTGTAGTATGGATTGGTGCTGGTCCCTGTGGATTTGTCAGGCACAGAGATATGAAACACGGGCAGTTATTGATAGATTTCAAATGGGCCCAAGTAGTCGGGGTAGAAAGTTGCTGGGCATATCCTGGTGCATTTTTATCTAACCCTGCAGATGGATGGAGGCAGCAGGAGTGGATTTCAATGTAACATTGAACATGGAAGCACAGTGGATTTTCTGCTGTGGGTGGAATAAATAACAGCCCCTTTTCTCATGGTTTATGCCCAATACGGTATTCGAATCAATAGCAATGTCATTATTGCCTTGGGGCAGTTTGACTTGCAGAGCTGGTCTGGCTCAGACTGATTAGCTGATGCGGCTCTATAATCCAATTTGTGTAGAGACAGGACTGTGTGATACGTGCGCAGACTGTAGAGGGGTGGTTCCTGTAGCAGGGCTGGGGTTAGGGACAGGACGGCGGGGTATGGTGTGATACATGTGCAGACTGTAGAGGTGTCTGCTCTGCATATTGGAGGGTAAAGAAACTGCAGATATAGGGTGAAGAAGGCAGATAACTGCTGCAACCTGACAACATTTTGGATTGCAGTTGTTACAGTGAGTATGCACCATTCTGATGCTTGTTTGTTGTGTTTAGTGCGATGTCTGGGCAGTGGGGATCACGGCAATTGAGTTTGCAGAGCTGCAGCCCCCCATGTTCGACCTCCACCCTATGAGGTAGGTGTACATGCATAAGTTTTAGTGCAAGGTAGGTGTAATAATGGAACACCAGTGGGAGGGGGGTTGTGAGAGATAAGTTTTGTGAAGCTGAAGCACAAGGGTCTGGAACTAAGATCAAAGATCTTTATACACCCATTGGGCATATACCTTCTTACTGTTAGTGTGTTGTGTACATTCAATAAAAGCTGTCAAATGCAACTTAAAGCAGTATGAGACATCACATGAACCTGTATCACATATCCATATCAGATTACCCATATATAGTGACTTATGTAATGTCTGAGGGGAGATGAGGTGCTCAAAATGGTCCAGTTTTGTACAGTACCAAAATTGTTATATTTCAATGGGGACATGAGTTTGTTATATTTTGCATGAACATGAGTTTGTTATATTTTACACGGACATGAGTCTATAAGATAGCAGGAGACAGGTTTGCCATATATACTGCACAATGCAGTCCTCTGACATTATGATGCATAATGATATTGATAGATTAGAAGCAATGTTATTTCATTGCAACCATACCGTTACTGTTAGGGTATTCTAAGTATTAAACTGCTGCACTACAAGTTACAACTTAATCCACACAACCTGACTTTTATATTGTTATATTTTACTGCGTTGTTCGTATCCTTTCTTGGTTTGGATCTTTGATGATGTGTTTGTTGTTTTTCTTATTATTTTCCTTGTTATTTCTGTCATTTGTTTACGTGATGCCAGAATGTGTGTGGCCCAAACTGCCCCTCCTGGCATGTGTGTAATGTGGACCACTTACTGGGCCTGTGTAAGGCACACCCCACAGATATGTTACAGAAACACGCGGAACTCTACTGTGCTTCTCACTGCCTGGTTTCTGTCCACAGGGTTCTGTTCCTCATGTCGAAAAGTGGCTTCGTTCCCCCCAAACTTAAGGACAAAAACAAATGGTGAGTAGCAGAGTTACCTATGTGGTAAGTTTTCCTCACAGGGGATGTCAATATCCAGGCAGAAAAATTGTTTAATTTGTTTTTAAGTGGAGATTCTTGAATGGAATGTTTGGGATGTGGTTGCTGCAATCTTACCCTAAAGTTGTTGTAGCTGTTGTTATGAGTTGTAAGTTGTTGTAGCAGTGTTAGTTGTTGGTAGCCTGCAAGGGAAGATTAGTGTTGATTCTAGCGGACTCAGATGACAGCCGATCTGACGCCATGTCTGACAGGCGACTCACATTTCTGCCCAGCCAGAAATTCCACCAGATTTTCACCTGACCTCACTCAATCCCTAGCAAAAGAAGCAGTGTCAAAACTTGTGCTGAATCATTAGACTTGGCAGAACATTCAGCCATTTTTAGATGTTTTGTCCATAGTACACTTCACCTGTTCTCAGTTTCTGCAAAAGTAAGAATCATCATTAGAAATGGAGAATGTTTTTATAGATGTTGTGAAGTTCTGCTAGAACTGCTCAAATCTATGTGTGGTGATGAGAAGTTTGACTTTTATTAGTGTCAAACTTCTCATCAGTACCGCTTGGTAGCAGAGATGACTGTTCAATGATAAATGTTTGTGTTGTTATCTTTGTTTCAGGACTCCCAACTTTCACAACTTTGTCAAACTGGCGCTGACAAAAAATCCCAAGAAAAGGCCGACTGCAGAGAAGATGATCCAGGTTAGGAAATGTTATAACAGTTCTAACAACATCCTTAAATTCACCCTTTAACAAGTGTGTGTGTGTGTGGGGGGTCTGTTGTACCAGTTTTGACCTTGACATAATGGGCTAACCTTCACAGTTGTGTGTCGTCACATGACATGGACTTGAACATAGCTGCCCAAGGCAACTACTTGTTCTGTAAGAAGTATTGTGTAGTATGGTGGTTAACTGACCTTGATGTTTTCTGTGTTGTTTTTAGCACCCGTTCTTCCAGCAGCCACTGTCCCACAGACTCGGCAAGGACCTGCTGGAGATGGCCTCCAACCCCAGCTCCTACCAGAACCACGACGACGAGGATGAGGAGGACAGAGGAGAGGTAACCATAGCAACCATTACCATAGAAACCTAACATAACTCAACCCCAGCTTCTACCTCAACCACCAAAACAGGAAATGGTAACCATAGGAAGCATTACCATAGGAAATGAAGGGATGGATGGAAACCAATGATTTAAGTTTATTTCTGACAGTTCAGACTACTAATGGCCATTTGTGTGTGTTGACATGCAGCCGACATTAGAGGTTCCTCAGAGGATTTCATCACGGAAGAAGGAAGACAGGAAAGAAAGGACGAAGTCAGAGATAGACAGTAAGTACTGAGCTCTGTGTAGTTTTTAACCAACTAGTTTTCTGTCTAGTTGTTAACCAAATGTTTTTTGTGTAGTTTTTAGCTAAATGGTTTCAGTGTAGCAGGTGTGGTCTGATGTTTTTCTTTGTTTTTTTCAGTGGAAAATGTGAACTTTGAACCTCCTCTGAGAAGAGAAACAGAACCTCAGCAGGACGAGGTGAGTGGAACTCCGGGATAAGGTTATTCAGGGTCAGGGTTGTGGGGTGTCTCCTGTTCAGCATGGACCACAAACTGCCTCAAATTAAGATTCCTGTGTCGCGAGGTCAGGAGTTACAATGTATGGTCTGTAACATGATGACAATATGAAACTTGTTTGAAAACATAAGAAAACCACTTAGGCAATAGCAAGATTTTTTTGACACACAAACATTAACTGTTAGGAAGTGCATGAAGTTTCCATAATGTATTGTCCTTGTCTCTTTAATGTTAGTTTTCACAAGGGCAGGAATTTTGATGTGCCTTGTTTGAGGGGATGGTGGGTCTATCATCATTAATTTGGGTGTATGTGGAACCCTGGTATTGGGGTGGAGGAATACTGGGATAAATACAGTGGAACCCTGGGATAGGGGCTGTGGAATGCTGGGATGCAGGCTATACATTGTATATGGGGAGAAGATGCATGAGAAAGCTCTGTATGGGGGTGGGGGGATGCAGGATAACATCCAACATTTCTTTTTTCCTCATAACCCTCCTAGGTCCGTGCTGGGGAGGTCCCAAACAGGGTTCGTAGGAATGTAAGTAACTTGTTCGTCCTGAGGGAGTTTAAGGTGTGACAGGTGTGTGTATAAGGTACACCTGGTACCACCTGTGTCTGGACTAACTTGGTGTTTTTCTAACTTCTTCATCTCCACTGAGCTCCCTACTGTTCCTGTAGGTCCTCCCAGGGCACCTTGGGAAAACTGGAGCCTGCTGTAGTTATAGAGATGTTAAAGCATGAAGACTTCTGTTACAGCCACGGCTCGAAATAAACTCCTGCAGCTTCCAGCCAAAGTTTTTTTGCAGAAAAAATATGGATGACTTGCAATTTGGCAAACTAGAAAATATATAGACTTGTTATCATGAATCCCACATTGTAGGAAGTATTTGGAGCCGTGCAGTGGTAATCAATACTGATCATTTCTCACTGGACCCAAACAGTAGACACTAGACCACAGACGTGACGTGTTGATGGCATATACATGTACAGCACCAGTAGTACAACACCCTGTTCTGTTGTTCGTCAGTGCAAGAGTCAGACTAACTCCTCCTGCCTGTTCCCTCCCCCAGGACGATGAGTTTGCCGGCGCGTGGAGACCAGTGCTGGAGATAGATGGTAGCAAGTGAGTAATGCTGGAACCGTTCACAAGATGCAGTAATGCTGGAACTGTTCACACAGACTCTAATGCTGAGACAGCTCACACATAGCTAGTAATGCTGGAACTGTTCATGTAGACTCAACAGGATCAGGGAAGCACATGGGTGCAGGGTGGTATCTTGGGTGTTCATGATTGCCTCAGCTCACACCAATTTATTTCCTTGGTTCTCTGACATTGTGAAGTATAACTTTTAGCATGATGTGAAGCTTTAAATAAATGCTGGGAGGAATCAGACTATTCACTGTCTGAAACTGTGAACCAAGACTCAAACTCTGTTGATCTTTCAGTTCAGCCGAATACAAAGTGAGAACGAGAACCATCAAGTGAAATTAATCAAAATAAATAAATAAATTGATGTGGCCATAAGGTTACTCTAGAAGTCTGAAATCTGTTGTCTGTTGGCATCACCTGGTGGGCCTTAAAGCAGGGCTTTAGCCAGCTCGAAATTTTTTACCGTCAACCCCAGGTCAACCCAATTCGCGAAAAAAAATGTGTCAACGCGAAAAAAAATTCCATTAATTATCACTTAAAGAATGTCTGTCTTTCACGATCGACATCACGCCCTCCCGTACACTTCATTCATTCAGTGTTCTAAATACCCGTCATGATTGCAGAATAAAAAAAAACTACACAATCTGCAACTTTCCTTGAAGTCTGGTTTCCCACCGTGCGTGGGCCCGCGCACTTGGAAAAGACGCCGCGTCGTGGCTCATTAAAATTAGCTAGATTTTTTCTATGTCTATACCCACGATTTTTGACCGTCAATGTTGACGGTGAGGACTTAAATTTTTACCGTCCTACGGGACAAAATACCGTCAATTGACGGTAAAACGGTCGCTGGCTAAAGCCCTGCCTTAAAGCAAAAACATTTTCTGCTATCAGTCTCAGTGGGCTGTTTTCTTAGATGTACATGATTATACGAATTGTAGATAAGTTATAATCTGCTTGTCACTCCAGTAACCTTGCATCAGACTTGAGCTGGCTGTTTTAGTGCTGCACTTCACATCATCCACAGGCCAAACACGACTCCTGTCTAACTCCTCTTTTCTCTGTTCCTCATGTTCCACCTGAAGGAGTCTTATCAAATCCGTTGAAGAAGAACTCCATAGACGGTAACTCTCGCCTTCCTTGTTTCTGTGTAGAATGTTTGTTTAGGACATGGTCAGTAGTTTCTATGGTGGTGGGGCTATCCTTGTATATTCCATTCCATGTGACTGCTTTTAAGTTTCCACTCAGCCACGCAAAACCACCCTTACCGCTCCCCACTCCAGACCAGACCCCTCCCTCAGAACCCATCCATGCCACAGCACTACTGTCTTGAGGAGAATAAAGGGAAAGTGGACAAAACATAGATGTGCCCAATTATCATGTCTAATGCTAAGTGTTCTACAGTGAGGTGAACTTTTTGTTGCTCTCCAGGAGAGGCAGGTTTATGATCAATTTGAGTAGACAAGCTGGGTTGTATGGTTATAAAGGACTTCTTGTGCAAGGCTTCTGGAACAGGCTTGGTCTACCCTTGTAGTAACTGACAATATTAGCTGACTATCCTTTGGGCAGCAAGGATTGTATTCGGCTGTCTCCAAAATGCTCTGTTCTGTTGGTCCTTCACAGACATGTTGTACCCAAAGGTTTTAGTACAGGCTTGCTGTAGGTTGTTCATAGTGTGGTGGTGCCATGTTGTTGTAACCCTTTCTTTCTGTTCCCTCAGAGGACACACGACAACATTAGAGTACTCGGACGCAGCAGGAACCGACCAGTCGTGAGTAGTCGCGTCTTCTCCGTGTCAGAAGTTTAATGGTACACAGTTATAGTGTAGGTGGAGCAGTAGGAAACTGTTTCCTGGGAAAGATTGACTTTATCGCTGACGTCATCTGCTGTTTAGAAATATGATCTTGTTGGTGGACTGGTGTTGCAGGGGAGGGGGGGAACTTAGAGAATAAGAAACTTCAAAGAATAATGCCGAATAGGAGTTCATCCATGAGACGGAGTTCATCTATGAGCCAAGTCTGTGTGGTCTAACTATAATCTTTTCCCACTTTTTCCCACCAAATAAAGAGTAGCTGACAGGTCTTTTGTTTGTTCCAGGTCGTCATTACCAGCAAATGGTACAGAAAGACCACCAGGAGCACCAAAGGTAGGATCAGTCTGGGCATTGTTATATCACCTCAGTACAACATCAACAACTCCACTCCCTGGTTAAAACTTGCTTCTGTCTTGATGTCCTTGTTGCTATGACTCAGTCCATGTGATTGACAGTTGATGTTCTCATCTCTCTTCCCGCCAGGCTGGGCAGAAGAGTGCATCAGATAGTGAAATCATCTCCACCCAGGATAGAAGAGATGCTGGCACCCCCCCTGCCCACAGCACCCCCCCTGCACTCCCCCCAAAGGAGAAGGCGAACGGGGTTGTCCCAACGGCTAACGGGGAGGACATGGACGAGGAACAGGACACGTCTGAGCAGGAGAACAATGAACCGCCTGCGGAGGAGGAACCACCGCCGCCTGAGATCCCCCCCAAGATCGGAGACATGAACAGACCCAGACCCCCCATGGTAGGAACCCTCACACCTGACTTCAGATCCCTCACACCTGACCTCAGACCTTTCACACATGACCCAGACTTCCCATGCTGTGATCATGAGTTGTTTTCCACATTTAAGATGTTAAAACCCCATATAATTTCCCCTCATTAGTATGTTTGACAATGCATGTGAAGAGCATGCTGACTTAAAATCAGGTGATGGTTCTTTGTTCTTTCCAAATTTATAGCATTATCTCTACAATCATCATGCAAACTTTTCTTCTGTTTGTTCTTTATAGTTGTAAAACTTTTTACTCTCGTAGAATTGAGCTGGTTCACTTGGTACAACCTAGTTTATTGCATGCTGTAATCATCTGCACACACAGTTAGACTGTGATAAAACAGGTAAAACTGGTAAAACAGTATTCATATAGTAAGGCTACTGCCATGTAAGATTTAACAATGTAACTACTATCAGGTATGGAGTAGAAGAAAACTGTGTCCCAACCGAAATGCACACTTTTCTGGCTCCACATGATTATGTTGCCACCATCCCTTGGATTGCTACAATGTTAAGTTGCTTAAAACCTAACATTTCTGTTCATAGCATGTTAAATAATGTAAATTATCAGCCACCTGTTGTCTATAACAGCAGGTTTCTGTTTCTGCTGTGAGAAGCATGGGAGTCTTCTTCTAATATGTCAAAAGCATAAAACAACACAGCTATCCCACAAGTCTAACCAGAGACTCGACTCAGCAAAGTTTTGTCCCATAATGCCCTTTGCATGTCCTACTCCTGTGTTACTGTCAGCAATGTTTTTACTTACACCCCTCCCACCTGACCTTACACCCCTCACACCTGACCTTACACCTCTCCCACCTGACCTTACACCCCTCCCACCTGACCTTACACCCCTCACACTTGACCTTACACCCCTCACACCTGACCTTACCCTCTCACACCTGACCTTACACTCTCACACCTGACCTTACACTCTCCCACCTGACATTACACCCCTCACACCTGACATTACACCCCTCACACCTGACCTTACACTCTCCCACCTGACATTACACCCCTCACACCTGACATTACACCCCTCACACCTGACATTACACCCCTCACACCTGACATTACACCCCTCACACCTGACCTTACACTCTCACACCTGACATTACACCCCTCACGCCTGACATTACAGCCTCCCACCTGACATTACACCTCTCACACATGACCTTACAGCCTGACATTACACCTCTCACACATGACCTTACACTCTCACATCTGACCATACCCCTCTCACCTCTGACTTAACATGTATACCTTTCACACTTGACCTTAGACCTCTCACACCTGACTGAACACCTTCATGTCACCTGACCTGCAGCTTTTGTCTCTCATCTTTTTTTTGCTCTGCACTAATCTGGCACCTACCAAACTTCCATATCTGAACCAATTAGCTGTAAGTTCTTCATTGTTTTATTTTTTTCCTGTCTGTGATTTGGTCTTTTCTGTCTGGCGTAGAGGTCCACTTGGTCCAGGATATGTCACCAAGAAACCCTTGCAATCTTGGTAATGAAGGCTTTTCTTGCTTTTTCATACTTATTCATGGGCATGTGTGGGACAAGATTTGCTGTTTCAAATATACACGAGGAATGGCTTTAAAGGCTGTAATTTAGCTGTGGAATGCACTCATGTTTATGTCTGTAGCAACATGTACTTGTATCAGTTCATAATGGAGCATGTTGAGAGCAGTGTATAGTTAACTCTGGTCATGTCCATGGCTGTAATTGTTGTCACCTGCCTCTCATCTGCCAGGTGAGTTTACCTGTTCTAACCTGCCAGGTGATCTGTATGTTCTCACCTGCCAGGTGTGTTCACCTCACCTGCCAGGTGTGTTTACCTGTTCTTGTTTCTCAGCAGGAACCACAGTGCAATGGGCTCCCACCCACACCTAAAGTACATGTGAGTTTCGTCCTTTCTAAATTTACAGTAAATGTATTTATTGTAAACAGAAACCGGAAATAGTGATGATAGTTCTCTAGGTGATCTGCGACTAGTGAATAATTCCTGATTAAGGTGATGAGAAAAACAAGATTATGAAGAGAGGGAATACCACAGTATGACTATTTTTCTACTGTTAAGCGTGCAGAAGTGTTCTTACCTGATTGTTGTGTTTTGTTGTAGATGTAATGTTCTTACCGGTTTGTTGAGTGAGGTTGTACATGGAATGTTCTTAATCTTACTGGTTTATAGTGTGAGGTTGTACATGGAATGTTCTTACCGGATTGTTGTTTTGTTGTAGATGGGAGCGTGTTTCTCCAAAGTGTTCAACGGTTGTCCTCTGAAGGTAAACTGTGCAGTCAGCTGGGTCCATCCACAGACCAGAGGTACAGACACACAACTAACACTCCATGCATGCAATTTCTAAAGATGTCTTGATATTCAAGCACAAAGAAGTTGTATATTTCAAGTCATTTGATATACAAAAATGCTTCCCCATGTATTATGGCATGGCAAGGTGTAGCTGACAAACTTACTTAGTTATAAAAATGTAGAAACATCAGACCACAAGCCTGTGTTTGAACCAGTTTGCCATGCTGAATGACACCATGTTTTCCTCTCCCCTTCCAGACCAGCACATCATAGTTGGGTGCAATGAGGGGATCTACACCCTGAACCTCACCCAGCTGCACGAGGCCACCATGGATCACGTAAGCATCCCACTACAAGCCCACCTTTACCCTTACCTCATTACAACCCCTCCCTTACCTAACCTCATTACAACCCCTCCCTTACCCTAACCTCATTACTAACCTACCCTTACCCTTACCTCATTACAACCCCTCCCTTACCCTAACCTCATTACTAATCTACCCTTACCCTTACCTCATTACAACCCCTCCTTTACCCTAACCTCATTACTAACCTACCCTTACCCTTACCTCATTACAACCCCTCCCTTACCCTAACCTCATTACTAACCTACCCTTACCCTTACCTCATTACAACCCCTCCCTTACCCTAACCTACCTCATTACTAACCTACCCTTACCCTAACCTCATTACTAACCTACCCTTACCCTAACCTCATTACTAACCTACCCTTACCCTAACCTCAGTACTAACCTACCATTACCCTAACCTCATTACTAACCTACCCTTACCCTAACCTCATTACAACCCCATCCTTATTTTACCACTAACCACTACCACAACTCCATCTATAACCTAACTCTAAACCTAGGAAAGTTGTTCCCCCAAACTTCTGCCCCTCCAGTCATTGCCTAGGAGATTTACTAATATTTGTTTATTTGTTTGCAGCTGTTCCCCAGAAGATGCACCTGGATGTACGTTATAAACAACATCCTGCTATCAGTATCAGGTGAGACATATCCACAGCACATAAACCAGGACAATCATTGCCTGTCTGGTCTGCTTCACTTGTAGATGTTTCATACAACAGAATTCGTCATATGATATACAAAGAAAGCAGGAGTTCCCTTCATCCTTGGCACCCAACAATCATTAATTTTTTTCTTCCACTGTTCTTGAAAACAGACATAGTGTTTGGGGTGGGAAGGATGGAAAGTTTAGAGTGTGATTCAGAAGAGGATAGTTGGAAGTTTTGCTGTGTTATTCTCATGAAAACAACTTGCAGCAGACCACTTGTGCTGTCTTCGGGATTATGCAGTGCTGTTTTTGATAGCTATCATGTTAGCAGCACATTTTCTACCCTTCTCTTTCTGAAATTAGATCATCCATGATATTTCGTTTGTTACTCACAAAATTTTCAAAGTCCCCACCGGGCAATTGCAGCCCTCCTACCTTCACAGTAAATAGAAAATCACCTAAGCCAACATGTAGCTGTTCTGTTTCTCCTTTCTGAAGCAGTTCTGTGTTTTTTACCCACATTGTTTGTACAGTGACTCATGTCTACTTTCCCTTCTTTCTGTTTGTTTGTGTCTCCTCTGTCTGGCTCCTTCTCGGACGGACAGAAGGTATGGCAAACCCTGCTCTGCAGGAGGGCCTCTCCTGGCTGCTTTCTTACGCCCCCTAGTAACAGCAATTGGTAGTGCAGCATTTTTGACAAAGCTAGAGTACTACATATACACACAGCTTCTGTAGTGACTGGAAAGACAGTTTGTCAGCTTTTGAGTCTTTGACTTTTATATTTTGGGGGTCCATTTCTGAATCAGATATCCTTCTGTTTCTCTGTCCCTTTCACTATTGTTTATTTGGCTGGTTCTTAAAAAAGTGCTCAGTTATAAACAAACAAAAAGGTCCAAATACCTGTCCAACTTACAGTATGCCCTAGCATTACATTATATATAAGTGATTGTAATATGAAGTCTAGCCAAGTATGCATGTATAATGTGTAATGTTCTGGGACATGGCAGAGATATTAACTCCCAAATTACCCCAGTTTGCCACAGTTTTGTTGCCTTTTTCCCCTGACTGCTGCCCTAATAAAATTATCATAATGTTGCAAGAATACTCATTTCATCCCATAGCACTGTTTTAGCCAGTGTATCTCTGTTTGACATATGGAGGGGATAAACTCTGTTTCTACGTGCCTACGTAGATATTGTAAACTTAATATGGGGAGTGGTAAATGACCAATGTCAATGGAGAGTTTGTCATTTAAAGATCAAGAGTTAGAACACCACTGATCCTTTCCAACCAGCCAGGAACCTGATGTTCCCTGCAGGAAGGAACAATAGAATAATTCACTGTTCAGATAGCATTATGTGGATGTGTGGAGGGGTGATGATGATGGTTATTGTTGTTGTTTCCCTTGTAGGAAAAACTCCGCACGTCTACTCCCACAACCTGGTGGGGCTGCATGACAGAACTCACACCCTCGGCTTCAACATCCCCACACACAAGCTGCCCGACAGAATCGTACCCAGGTAAACACAGGGTTATAATTAACAGAGTGAACTATATAATTGGATAGCTGATAGGACAGATGTTTTAGACAGCATTCTGCCATTGTTCATTGATGGCACTTCCATGAAAACCTATGAACTTTGATTAACTACAAAAGAATTTGTTTCCCTTTGCAGAAAATATGCAATTTCTACCAAGCTGCCAGATACCAAAGGCTGCCTCAGGTGTTGTGTTGGTGAGTGCTTCACCTTTTCTGTGATTCGACCTGCATTTCAGGGAAATGTTATATCTTTCCAAGTCACTGGGTGGTAACAGCCGTTTTTTGTGATGATGTTAAGCAAGGTTCCCTATATGCTGTGAAAACAGATTGCATGATTTCCTGTTGCGTCACTTTTTGTTGCAGTTCGGAATCCCTACAACGGGCACAAGTACCTGTGCACAGCGGTACCCAACGGGGTGGTGTTATACCAGTGGTATGAGCCCATGCAGAAGTTCATGTTAGTTAAGGTAAGGCACAGACACCAACACTTGTAGCAGTGGTTTAGGGGGAACATGACAGGAAGGCTTGTAGCTCAAAGATTCAAAAGTGAACCTGTAGTTTGTTGCATCTATGCATATTCTTATAAGGTCTTTTCAGTGTGCACTACACAGTTACAGATATCTTGGCTTGAAACACCTGATCTCTGTCATTTGTGCAAAATGAATTTTTTTTGCACGATTTGCACTTCTCTAGTCCCACGGTGTTTTTATGTGCACCAAAAGTGAAACAAGTTCTTTCCCATGGTTGCCATAGTAATGTCTACCTACAGTTGCCATGGTAACCTTAAGTTTGTAGTATATAGTTCAAAACTTTCCCTAGAGACCAGATGGTTGCCATGGTAACCATATCTCTGTAGTCACCTCTACTCTGGAGTGCGAAACAGATCACCTCATGCCACAGCACAGCTCCCCCCTTATGTTCCCCAGCACTGCGAGTTCGCGATTCCACAACCACTGAGGGTGTTTGAGATGCTGGTAACGCCAATCGCTGAGTACCCGCTGGTCTGCATAGGAGTCAGTAAGGGGTGAGTCACTGTTACATTGATGGTATTGATATTAAAAATGACTGTATAAGTCTTTTTAAGACTGGTTAGAATCTCCTAATAATCGAAAAGCTGTAGAAGTCCTGATTGTGTGACAGATGCTTGATGTATGAACACGTCCTTGACTCACTTTATTAAGCAGGGGTCTCCCCAGGAATTTTTAGGGGAGTGGTGCTGGAATTTTTTTGGAGGGCACGTAGTGCCCGACGCCGTGCGAAGCGCGGCTGTGAGGGGGGGAGAGGTCCGGAGAGGGGGGGGATTCCCCCCCTCTCCGTAGGAGAAGCTGTTGCATTTTACCCTTCTGAGATGCAGTTTGTAGCCTTCTCCTGCAACTTGAGTTTAAAATCTTACTAACTAAAGAGATAGAAAATCAAGCCAAATTAAGTACAAATGTAGGGCATTAATGAGTATTTGTACAACAAAATAT